CCAGGCTTTGGTATAAAGCTTCCCCCCATAATCTTAAAAACCTAAATTTGGGGGATAAAAATCTACTGCCACCACCCAAGTAATGGTAAGGAAATCAGGGAAGAGATCACTTGGGAAATCTCAGCCCTAAAGTAAAACCAGGACACAAAAATTAACCAATACCAAGTTAATAAAAAAAGAGAGAAAAAACTTTTATTATCACCACAATACTCCGGTTATAAGCATACTGGCTAGATGGAAAAGTCACCAGTTAATATACTCATGGGCAGGGCTCGACAATTTAGGTAATCTACTCACCATAGGTGAGTAGGTTATAGCCTAATCTACTCGCCATGGGTGAGTAGGTTATAGCCTGGCACGGTGCCACAGTGCAATCAGCGCATGCGCAGCATAGTTTGCACATGCGCAGCATGCTGACCTGCGTGCCTGGTGAGCGGGGTTCGCCGTGGCTTGGCGAGTCCTGCTTATGGGGGACCCCACATGGGCCAAAAGCTTAGTTACAAAGGAGTGAAAAACCCATTTTTAAATGCACAGACATCAGATCCCCGTTCCCAAACTATAAAACAATAAAATGTAATGGAACGTTCCCAAACTATAAAACAATAAAATGGAATGGAATTATCTACACTTTGCCCTGCTTACAGATAGTGAAGAGTCTGTTCTTGGAGAGAGACATTTTGTTTGTGTCCCTCAGTATCTGGAGAGAAGCTGCTCAGGGATAAAGGAGAGAAAAACCAAAAATTCTTGTGTCACAGTTTGAAATTCCTACTTTCAGTTCTATTAGCTGACCACTACCTGGCTAGGTACAGTTAACCCATTACTCCCCAGGCTTCTGGCCATCCCCCTTGGTCATGACAAAGTCTGAGACAAACTTTCCTTCATTTTACTTCAAAACTCACTTGGGCCTGGTCTACACTAAAGGGGAAGGTCGACTTAATATATGCAACTCCAGCTACACTAATTACATAGCTGGAGTTCACGTATCTTAAATCGTGTTTTTGGGCTGTCCACACAGCTGGAGGTTAATGGGAGCAAATGCTCCCATTGACTTCCCTTAGTCCTTGTGACAAGTGGTACTATTGGCACCAATGGAGCATCCTCTCAGTTCAAATTAGTGGGTCTTCACTAGACCTGCTAAATTGAACGCTAGAAGATCAGCCTCTGGAGGGTCGCTCTACTCGGTAGTGTAGACAAGTCTCTGGAGAAAGCACTTGCGGGAATAAACCTGAGTGCCTTTTTTAGTGACATTGCTAAAACCTTGTTTACACACAGTTCTTGTACCAGCATAACTATTTAATTTGAAGGGTATGATTTTTTTTTTAATCAGTATCTTTGCAGAGATAGTTATGCCAGTATGAAAGTGCCTTGTACCAGTATGACCTTTTCCTCTGCCTGCATGGGAAGAATACTGTTATATCTGTGGTAGGTAGGTCATTGTTTTAACTATACCAACAGCTTTTGTTTGTTAAGGTGACAGTGTTTGTTTGTTAAGATGCTATTTGTGATGAGAACTGAGTAATCTATTCAATATGAATAATTTCCTTGATAAGTTTTGCCTTATACTTTGAAGAATTGCAAGTAGGATATGTTGTGTTTTTATCAAATTTATTGTGCACATTTTTTTGCAGATTTCTTCTTGGGCTACGGATTAATTGAATACAGTTATGTGCAAATATTTGATACTCTATGGCTGTGACTAGACTGGCAAGTTTTTCTGCAAAAGCGTCTGCTTTTGCGGAAAAACCTGCCAGCTGTCTACACTTGCCGCTTGAATTTCCGCAAGAACACTGACGATCTCATGTAAGAAATCAGTGCTTCTTACGGAAATACTATGCTGCTCCCGTTCAGGCAAAAATCCTTTTGTGCAAAAGCTTTTGCACAAAAGGGCCAGTGTAGACAGCTCAGATTTGTTTTGCGCAAAAAAGCCCCGATCACAAAAATGGCGATTGGGGCTTTTTTGCACAAAAGCGCATCTAGATTTTTTGCGGAAAAGCGTCCGTGCCAATCTAGACACGCTTTTCCGCAAATGCTTTTAACTGAAAACTTTTCCGTTAAAAACATTTGTGGAAAATCATGCCAGTCTAGACATAGCCTATGGGTACATCTACACAGCAGGGCTAAAGTCGAATTAAGCTACGCAACTTTAGCTATGTCAATTGCGTAGCTTAAGTCAGAATAGCTTAATTTAGTTTTTGGGGCTGTCTACACAGCACGAAGTCGAAGGAAGAACACCCTTCCTTTGACTTCTCTTACTCCTCATGAAATGAGAATTACCATGAGTTGAAGTAAGAAGTCCTCCAGCTCAACATTATTTCGAAGTAAAGGCTTGTAGTGTAGATGCGCACCATGTTATTTTGGAATAACACTAGTTATTCCAAAATAAAGCTGTTGTGTAGATGTGCCCTATATAAGAGCTGTGATGTATCACCTAAATTGCACATAATTGTTTATTTTTCCTGATTAGATGAACATAACTTTTATAATCTGGCTTTCATTTGAATATTTTGATAAGCAATCTTCAAAATTGTTTTCTGTAGTTGTTCATGTGTGAGAGAGGAAAATTCATGTTCTGTGAGTACTTGAAAGAGTAAAATCACTCATTCATGTACGTATATACAGTAAACAAAGAAGAGTCAGAACACAGTGGAAATGAGTCTGTTTAAATTCATGTAAACATTCACAAAATATTTGTGCTTTCCCATTCTTACTGTCCTGAGGAAATTGTGTTCCACTGCACACATGCTGAATTCATGTCCCTCACAGGTTTTTTTTTCTCTCCAGCAGAATGTATTTTCTGTAGAGGTACTGCAGTTACGCCTTTTGTCCACTGGGACTGTTGTGACACCAGAAAAGAAGGTAGCTTGTGGAGCCAGCCATAGCAGTTGATAGGGTTAGAGCCAGTGTTCCTTCTGGTACCCTGCCCATGGAGCTAGGTGAAAAGGCATGAGATATGGAGAGGGACCCGGACAGAACAGGGCACCTGGGTTTGCAGGAGGTCATATAAACTGGAGTTCAAAAGGATTAATGGTTAGGAAATTTTGGGGTAGAGAAGATGAATGGAAGTGGGGGTACAGGGCCCCTTGGAGATGGGGAGTGGGAGATGGCTGAGACAGGGTGCAGGACATAAGAGATAAGGAGTTCACAAAGTGACAGGGGCCAATGTGCCTAACTGAATGGAGGAGGCTAGGAGTCAGCCAGGGTACACATAGGGGATGCTCTCCAAGTCCCTAACAACCCCTCTCCTCCCCCCTAAAAAAAAAACCCTGTTCCATATTTCTCTCACCTGCATCCAACAACCCTCCAGATGCACTCCTGGCTCCTTCTCAACTCTTACTTCCCTATCTTTCAGCTGCTTCATTACCCCTAACTCCTCCAAGCATTTGCACTGCTTCTGGGGGTTCAGGAAATACATTTCTGTATTGTGGTTTTAGTGAACTATTACTCAAAATTATGTATTTATCTGTCTAGTAAGGAATCTGTTTGAAAAAAAAAATCCTCCTGAATTTTTATTGTTGTGTTGTTACAGATATAGTTGTTGACCGATATTAAATACATTACTAAAATAATCAAAATTGATATGATTATATTGTATTATTTCGACAAATAAAATGTGAGTTTTGCAGAATTTTTAATTTTTGGCCAGAATTCCCCCAGGAGTAATCTTTACTTGTGATGTTCGTTCTTGCTTACTAGGAACAGTAACTATGCCACCAATTTATCTCACAAAATGTTTCACATACTCATTGAAAGATATTTGGCCATTAATAAATGGATTTAAATTGATGGCTTAGGGCCAGATGCAAAGTCAGAAGGAATCTTTCTTTTGACTTCAGTGGGCGTTGGATTAGACACAAGATAAAATGTTTCATAATTCTTTACCAACCTTCCAAGCTTTTCAGTTCTCCATAAATCCTTTTCATAAAGTACCTGCCTCTGTCTATTGTTGTAGCATGTATTCATTATCTCTGCTCTTGAATCACAAGTATGCTTAAATGTTCTATTCATCTTTGTATGTAAATTATTTCATTTGCCGTCTTGTAGTTTATGGAATGTGTTAGTGTATGACATGTATTATTCTGTGATTAATAAAGTTATAGCATGAAAGGATAGAAGGAATGCCTTTGATATAATTTTATCCAACATTGTCAGCATGGATACCCAGAAAGAAGATCATGTCTAATATAGAATTTATTCATGAAGATCATTTACATGGGCTTTAAGCAAGTTTGTTACAAAGTATAAAATGTATATAGTGAGCAGTGTGGTAAAAGGGCTCAGCTACTTGTGTGTTAAAGGAGTCACTTGAAGACTAATATTTAAGGTATTTGTTTGTTGGAAGAGGGTAATGTGGGGATCCTCAGAAGTATTTAAGAGCAGTTTTGTTCACTCTCTCTACTAAAGATCCAGTGCAGAAAATCTGGATCCCACACAAAAGCCAAGTAGCTTGGCTGGTCAGTGGTGAGATGCATGGTGATGGACAGAGAGGGAGAATCTTACCTCTGGGTCATAAGGCAGTAATGATGCTATGTTCTGTTGCTGAAGAGCTGTCAACATTAAGCTGAAGAACTCAAAGTGCCAGTCCAATGGCTTGAAAGTCGAACAATGGTGTTACATTTTGGCCAACACCCGCAGTGAGATCCAAGCCCAGTTTACCTTGCTGTGGTGTTGGATAGATCATAAATGTACCACGCTCACTTGAGGAAGATAGCAGCCAAAGTCAACACTCAGAACAACCTGCTCAGAAAATTGGCTGATGCAAATGAGGGTGTGAGTGCCTGGACTCTAAGAGCACCAGCCCTTGCCCTCTGCTATTCAACAACAAAGTACTGTGCTCCTGTCAAGTGTCACTTGTCTCACATGAGGCTGGTCAATGTAGAGATTAACAAAGCCATGTGTATTGTTATCAGGGCTTGCAGGCAATTCTGTTGCCATGCCTACCAATGCATAGGAACATAGCTCTGTTCCATATTCCACTGCGAGAAGGCCGCTGCTGGCTACGATCTGTGAGAATAGCAACCTAGCTTTGTACACAGACCTCTTCAACTACCTGCCAGCTCTCCTGTCTTCTAGTCTAGACATCCTTTATAGTCATTTATGCCCCCACAGGACAGAACAGTTGAATTGGCTTAGAACAATCAGTGGTCACTGACAGCTGTCTTTAATCATTCTCTCATCGCTGACTCAACCAATTGTCCATCAGGTAATTGCCAAAGCATTTGTGATCCTCTCTAAACCTGGTTTGAACAGGATAGGGCAACACTGCTGCCATTCTCTTGTTTTTAATGATCCACAATGCAGCTGCAGTAATCTTAATACTAAGCTGAATACCCTTGGTAGTGCCTGCTGACTTATTTCAGCGTTGGGCTACCTGGCTGATGATGATGCAATCAAATGGCTGAGCACATTCCATGTACACTGATATAGGGCAGTTGTGCAGCCGCTCCTTAAAGGCTGCATAGGGATTGCCACACTGGATCAAACCAGTGGGCCATCTAATCCAGTATCCTCCTGACACTAATGGTGGCTGACCCCAAATACTTCAGAGAAAGGTTCAAAAAAGTCCTTCAGTAGGAAGTTACAAGAGAAGCTATCCTTGTCCTTATGAGAGAGGCGGTCATTACAGAAACAACGAGGAGTCCTGTGGCACCTTAAAGACTAATACATTTATTAGGGCATAAGCTTCCATGGGCTGCAGTTTACTTTGTCAAATGCTGCACCCCACAAAAGCTTATGCCCTAATAAATGCGTTAGTCTTTAAGGTGCCACAGGATTCTTCGTTGTTTCTAGTGAAACAGACGAACACCACTACGTCTCTGAAACCGGTGATCACAGTTACGGCTCTGATGTAGCAAAGCATTGAGCAGGTGCTTCATTCTACACTTATGGAGTTCTGTCTTTGTACAGCGCCATGAACAACGGAGTCCTGGTCCATGACTGTGGCTTCTTGGTGCTTCGGTAATACAAATAATTAATACGCCGTGTAACTTTAGCCAAAAAAGAATGGATGTGGGGGTTATCATTGCAAAATCTTATGGAGCTGATTAAAAAATATGTAAGCACATTTCTGGGATATATAAATTGAAGGTAAGGCAGGATATGTTTTGTTGGCAACATCTGAATCATAATTCACTTATTAATATTTATTGCCTGCATCTAAAGTGCAACAGAAATGAACATCAATTAATTATGGCTAATAAATTCTTAGGAGGTAGATAAGTACTGTGCCAGTTTTATATTTGCCTGTGTACTGGGCCTGCACATCACTTAAGTCCCTTTTAAAGCCTGTTTAAAGGCTTTTATAACATGTAAGCAAAATGTAAGTCTTTTACATGCCCTTTCAACAGGGATGAATCTACCCAAAAGTTTTTAAGCCTTCTCACTTAAGGTAATACAATGATTCCATGACAGAGGTGGGAATAGAATCTTCTATTCCTTACTCTTCATCCTTTCCTCTAGATAAAATTCCCTGTCCAACAAAGACCAATGGGGCCTGATCTGGAAAATTGCCCTTATCTATAGTTTGTATACAAAAAGTATGGGAGAGAGCAGAAAGAATGACAACCAGAATGATTTTTGCATAAAAAAGCACGGAATAACTGTGATCTCTCCCATGCTTTATGAAATAGGCTTATGGACACAAATATACATAACTCAGATGCTTTGGACACATTGCTTCATGTAACCTATCAGACTTCATGTCATAATCCGCTGGATATGTTTATCTTATGTTGGTATATGCATTGTTCTTGTGTGTAAAATCAGATGTATAGAATATGGAATATTTTGTGGTTTTAAATGTGCAAAGGGAAGCCATCAAGGGTGTTTCCAATGCTGAGATGCCTCAACGTCTAGGCAAATCATATGTAAATTGCCTTTTGTTCTTAAGACTTAGCAGTGGTTGGTCTTAGGAAGTCATATGACCTCCCTAACTAGTAGTGACTGGTCAGGTAACTTCCCAGGCAAAAGTGGGAATACTTAAAACAATAGGAAACTAGCAGATCTTTGTCTTTGTCTTCAGCACACCGAGGAGAAGTGAACCAGAGATCCAAGGGGAAGAAGAGATTTCCCTGGTCTTGGAGGGTTAGCTGGATAAGAAAAGCTTTAGGGTGAGTTTATAATATGTTTGTACTGAGGTTTTAGTATTAGAATTAGCTAAATGTTTTCTGTTATTTTTAGTCTGTAATCTACTTTTCTCTGCCTGTTCTCACTTATAACCACTTAAATCCTACTGCTTATACTTAATAAAATCACTTTTATTTTCTTTCAAGTCCAGTGTAAATAATTGTTACCTGGGGAGCAATCGGTGTGTATATTCTCCCTTTCATTGTTAAAGGAGGCTTACCTATATAATTCATTTGGGGTTCTGATCCCAGTTGGCGAGCAATATCCCAAGAAGGGGATCCAAAACTGCATTTTCCTTGGACATGAAGAGTTTCAGTGTCTGCATTGCTTCTTGGGGGGGCGGGGATCTCAGCTCTGTGCTTTGGCTGGGGGAGACCAGGGGATTGGCCCAGCAGGACAGAACAGTGTGAAGCCCCAGAGGGCAGGAAGGTGAGTGTAGTGGCCTTATCAGCACTCCAGGAAGCCCCCCCACGGGATCTTATGTGACCTCAGCCCATCATAGTAACTACATAGCAGTCCTAAAGAAAGGAGAATGAAATGGGGTATGAATTCTTTGGAAAAGGTATGACTGCGGGAGAGCTGTTTACTGTGAAAAAATCTGAGGTGAAAAAAAAGGATCATTGCAGCAAGACTGTTTGAGATGGTAGCCAACATAAGTACAAGAAGGGTGCACAAGGGAAGGAGCAGCATTTCTTTCATAGAATAGTTAGTGGGTGCGGGAGGAAGAAGTAGGAGTACATGGTGATTTTAAAATGAAGCAGTTCAGGAGGAATGCAACTGCTGATTCAATAGACTGGGTTGAATAAATTAAATAGTCTTTCATTTATATAATTTCCTGTCTTCTCATTGTTTTCCATGGGCCTAGGAAATACCATTGGCATGACTTGTCAGTTTCCTGACCTTAGATATTTTTTGTTCCTTTGACTCTTAGTTTCTTAAAAATCAGTCATTATGTGACTTGCCTGGAAATTAGGTTTGCTGGAGTTGGGGATTAAATACTAGGCAACACTTCCCCCCCATTCTACTTAATAGGAAATATTCATCTAAGTGAGCACAACCCTTAAATAAGAGAATGTTTCACACAACACTTCTTGCATGATTTTAGTGCTCACTCCCTTATTGAGGTATTGTGAAACTGAGCTCTATGCACGGTAGCGAATATTCCTCAGAAGTAGAAACAGTTCTTCACGAATATCTTTTATGATATTCAATATGTGGTGGGACTATGTGTATGGCAGGAGTGGTTTTGGCATGATATTATTTGCTCTGAACCTCCACAACTCTGCCCTGCTGATCTCCATGTCAAACAAATCTGGAGATAGGTTTTGCTATACTTAGGAAACTTCAGAAAGAAAGGGATGAATTAAGTGTACAAAAGGTGGGGGTACAAAAATAGAGCCAGTTCCTTAGCATGTATAAATTGACATACCTCTGTCATGGATCTGATCTGTAGTCCTGCTCTCTGAATTAGCTCATCAGTTATAGTGCTGGGTGTAATCTTTCCTGTGTGGCAAATCTCATTGACAAGTTAGTGTCAGGGAATCATGGGTATTAGTTGGAGTGTTCAGAATTCCTTGAAGACAGATCATTTTTGTTATGCCAAAAAACTTTTTTACCACTACCTCAGTGCTTGGGTTTTAAACCTTGTGATTGTTGTAAACAATCTATACCTGTGAACGATCCACATAAGTAGTGGTCTCGGGTGCCTTGGTGAAGGGAACAGACGTGGCAAATGGCACATCCTTTAAGCAGGGACTAAAAGCATGAGATGGAGTGGGTGCTCATTCAGGCCCTTGAGCAAAGGTCTGATTTGGCACCTAGAGCTGTGGCGTCGGTGCATAGTGCCCTGCAGGCACCCTCGATTAGCTAGTTCTGTTTCCCATCCACAGGCCAAGCCAGGAAGCCAAAGAAGGCCGGCAGGGAATGGTCTCCTGCTCTCCACAAGGAGAAGGACAAGGTTGAGGATGAGCTAAGACCTGCGCTGGGTAACTTATCCCCCACTTTGAAAAGCTGGGCTTCAACTAATGGCCAGTGATGGAGCCCACCCTGTTCCTTGCCTGGAATCCTGGACACGGAAGAGGGCATCAAGTGCTGTTGATACTTGAAGATCTCCAGGCTGCACAGGAGGTTCTGATGCTCCCGATGCTGCTCATGCTGCTGTGCCCAGATATCAGGGTAAGTCCACCGTAAGACCTTCCCATCTCTTCTCTCCCCAGTGGTGCTGCTCCCCATCACAGGGGGACTAGCACCACTGTTCACATACTTGAACACAGACCTGTCAAGGCTAAATCCCCACTCTGGCATGATGAATGCAGAAGTGGGGGCCCGCAAAAGTACCCCAAAACCTTATCTTTCCAGGCTTTGGTATAAAGCTTCCCCCAAAATCTTAAAAACCTAGATTTGGGGGATAAAAATCCACTGCCACCACTCAAGTAATGGTAAGGAAACAAGGGAAGAGATCACTTGGGAAATCTCAGCCCTAAAGTAAAACCAGGACACAAAAATTAACCAATACCAGGAAAATAAAAAAAGAGAGAAAGAACTTATATTATCACACCAATACTCCTGTTACAAGCATAATGGCTAGATGGAAAAGTCACCAATTAATATACTCATGGGGGATCCCCATGGTCCAAAAGCTTAGTTACAAAGGAGAGAAAAACCCATTTTTAAATGCACAGACATCAGATCCCCATTCCCAAACCATAAAATCTAATGGATTTATCTAAACTTTACCCTACTTACAGATAGTGAAGAGTTTTTTCTTGGAGAAAGAGACATGTCTGTTTCCCTCAGTATCTGGAGAGAAACTGCCCATAGACAAAGGAGGGAAAAAACAAAATTCCTTTGTCCCAGTTTGAAATTCCTACCTACATTTCTATTGTCTGACTACTACCTGGCTTAGGTACAGTTAACCGTTTAGTCCCCAGGCTGATGCCTAACCCTTGTGGTCATGACAAGACCTCAGGGCTGGGGAGGAAGATGCAGCAAAGCCCTCTGTGGTCACTGTACCCTGGCCACCAGCAGTAGGATTCAAGGCAGATGTTGCCGATTACCTGGCACACACCTGCACAGACCAACATACATGGTCTCTAGCAGGAACATGGGGATTCGCCCTTTGTGTCTCAGGGATGTGGTTACAGATCAGAAGAGCTGGCAATGATCTCCAAGATGGGTGTTTCCATATTTGAGAAGATTCCCTGGCAGCCAGTCCACGATACCTGCAGGTTCCGCTCCTCATCCCAGTACCAGTCTCAAAGTACAAGATATGGCTCACCGGTTTTCCATTGTGGATCCACTGAGTGGTGATGATCGATGAGACCCCCAGAGAGGTACATATTGGTCCTTGGCTTGGTCCTTATCCAGATGTGATGAAGGATACTCCCAGGTGCAGAGTCAACACTGCAGTAGCCCCTGGTCACTGGGTAGCAAAGTTCTGAATATGTCTCTGGTATGGAGCAAGGCTCCAGATCAGTGGGACAGCCTCTGAAACAGTCAGTGCCACATAAGTCATAAGCACTGAAACCTGCCCTGTCATGCCAGGTTCAGTGGTTGGCCCCATGGCACTCATGCACCCCGTGGTAGTTCACCCCACTTTCTCTTTGTCAAGAGCCTCAGACAGGCTGGTGGCCTCAACAACCCCACCCTCAGTTTTCTGTTAAAAGCATTTTCGGAAAAATCGCATCTAGATTGGCAGGATGCTTTCCCGCAAAAGCACTTTTTGCGGAAAAGCGGCCGTGGCCAATCTAGACGCGGTTGTCCGCAAAAAAGCCCCGATTGCCATTTTCACAATCGGGGCTTTTTTGTGGAAAACAGTACTATGCTGTCTACATTGGCCCTTTTGCGCAAAAGTCTTTCGGAAAAAGACTTTTGCCCGAACAGGAGCAGCATAGTATTTCCGGAAAAGCACTGATAATTTTACATGAGATCATCAGTGCTTTTCCGGAAATTCAAGCGGCCAGTGTAGACAGCTGGCAAGTTTTTCCGCAAAATCATTTGATTTTGCGGAAAAACTTGCCAGTCTATACACAGCCTGTGTGTCTTTAAAGAAAATTCAAAGACTATTGTTCACCAGGCTGAAGCAATTATTCTGAGATATGAGTCTCTCCCTTACTGTTTTTGAACCTCTCACATTTGCAGTCTGGGACAGACCTGAGTTTTTAGAACTATAAAAAAGTCATAATCTTCATAAGTCAAAAAAAAATGAGGAAACCATATCAGAGATCAACAAGCCGGAGTGAAACATGCACTTGAAATAGTGCTAATTTACTTCTCAGTTCAGTTTAATTTTAAAAAACCCACAGGACATAATAGGGCTGTAGTGTTAAATTTAAAATACGGGGTGGGGATGCTTTTTTTTAAAAAATTGTGAGAATATTACTGTATTTTTAAACGTGTTTTTTTTTTTGTAATTTGATGTTTGTTCCTTGACAAGTTATCTGAAGATCTATGGACTGGCCTTGAATTTTTTAAGTGACTAGAGACTTTTTTATTGGTTTTTGTCTGAAATGTCCTGTAATGTTATTTTTATCTCTACATTTTGTGTAATCTAGCTAGCTAGCTAGCTGTCTATAATATGTGGCTCTTCGCACTCTATCCACAGCTATTTTGGCTCTTTGTCTCTAACTGGTTGGCCACCCTGGAATAGAGCTCTTCCATACTCTTCCAACTGCAGCCAAATGTAATTGCTTTTGTATTAGGCTACAGGCAGCTATTAGTTTTGCTTTCAGAATGTGCCTTTTGACATTCATTTGGGGCTTATATTTCTCCTGTTAATGTTCCTTGAGCGTGAAACTCTATGCTAATATAGACACATTGTCAGAACATATTTTTAAGCACCACATAAGACGACTTCGCTGTCACCTTCACTTTTTTTGGTGTTTCATTAACTTCATTTTTGTTTATGTGGAACACACTATGCTCTCTGAATACTAAAAGCAAACTTAAATAGATTTGTTCGCCATTAATTACATTTAAAAATCACCGTTAGTGATAAATCGGCAGAAAATTATGTATTTTTTAGAACCAGGCTTTTGTTCAAAAGAGTGGCTTTAATGAAGTGTTTTTAAACTTCACAATGTATTGTGCAAAATGTTACCCCTGAAACTTACCAGTAATCCAGTCTGAAAAGATGATATTCTCCAGTGAACAAGATAAAATGCAAATACTTTTGTTGGTGCATAAATTTTCATTATTGGCTACATTCAGAATATGGCAGGTGGCTGATAAAGCACTTACTGGAATTTTCCATCTTTTTTGTTATTTGCAGAGTTTTTCCTTTTTGAACAGTATGTTTTATGTCAAAGAATTTATGTGCTCTTCAGACTTCTATTTAATCTTGTCTATTCTTAGATGTGAAAATGCAGCTTTTGAGTCTTCACCATTTTATGTATTCATTGGTTATTCAGTAAATGCTCTGTCCAGCTTGAACACATTTTCTGGAGATATAACAGAATTTCACCCTCTAGTGCTTTACTTTGTATATTTTTTCATCCAAAAAAAAATGCAAATTAAGCTAAAGATTTTTGTTATAGTTCATTTCATGTCATTTTCAGTGCCCATCTGAGTGAATTAAAAATATATATGTTTAGTATAAGCACCATGAATAAAATTGATAATGAAATAAGGAAACAACAAATAATTTATAGTTGAAATACAATGTTTGTTCCAATGGCTTTTGAATTTATAATAAATTTTCTTCCACTGAAGTGCAGTGTGTCACTTCCATTAATGATGCTGTGAGCTAGGTTTAGAAATAGAAAAACCTCAAGAAGTCAAAAATATTTTCAAAGATAAAGGTCTAATTCTCAAAATTGCATTTTTTGCACACTCTTAATAGTGAAAAACGAAAGGATTTTATTTCACAATAAAAGCCACAGTGTGTCCTCGGATATGATGATCTTAATGGATTGTTCACTTTCAGTCCTTTGGGTACGATGTCCATCTTCTTGCACTTGGATAGAAAGATGATGTCTGTCTGTATCTGTGCAAGTTTCTTCATATGGTTGATGGATTTCCATTCCAAACGGCTAAATGTAGTGCCTTGCATGTAGAATAGTGATAGAGATGTAGCCGTGTTAGTCTGGTGTAGCTGAAACAAAATACAGGACTATGTAGCACTTTAAAGACTAACAAGATGGTTTATTAGATGATGAGCTTTCGTGGGCCAGACCCACTTCCTCAGATCAAATAATGGAAGAAAATAGTCACAACCATATATACCAAAGGATACAATTGCGTCTCATCTCAAGACAAACATCCACACCAACTGACACCTTGCAAGACTTTTGTTCCACCAGACAAGAGATCTACTATACACACTTCTATTCCCTACAACAAAGAAAAGACAATAAATTTTCTAACATGCTCCATACCACTGGCTACAACAGCAACTACCTCAACCCACCGGATAATATTGTTAACCTCTCCAGCTACAAACTCAATCCAGCAGAAGAGTCTGTCTTGTCCCGGGGTCTCTCTTTCTGCCCCACATCCCCCACAAACTGGATACAATTTTGTGGTGACCTTGAGGCTTTTTTTCGCCGCCTCCGTCTCCGAGAATATTTCCAAACCACCACTGAACATCAATCTGATCTACCAGATCCCCCCTACCAACACCAAAGGAAAAATAATTCTATATGGACTCCCCCTGACGGTCGGAATTACAATCTGGATTTCTATATACACAGCTTCCGCAACAACGCACAGACTGACATTATTCACAAACGACAACAAGCGACACACAATCTTAGCCGCGCTGAACACCATGCCATCCAGAGTCTCAAAAACAACCTGGACATTGTAATCAAACCAGCTGACAAAGGGGGTGCTGTGGTCATTATGAATAAGGCCGACTATAACCAGGAGGCAACCAGACAACTCTCGAACACCACATTTTACAAACCTCTCCCCTCTGATCCCACCTTGGACTACCAAAAGAAACTACACTGTCTCCTTAAAAGCCTCCCCACAGCTACTCGGGAACAAATCCTCACAGAATCACCTTCTGACCCCCGACCAGGATTGTTCTATCTACTTCCCAAGATCCATAAACCTGGGCACCCCGGACGTCCCATCATCTCTGGTATTGGCACGCTCACTACTGGTCTATCAAGCTATGTAGACATTCTTCTCAAGCCCTTCGTAACCAATACCCCCAGCTATCTCCGAGACAC